ACCTGCCTCCTAGGGCACACTCTTGCTGGCTGGTAATTAACTCCCTTGATGCCTGTCCTGCCTTGCAGAACCTGTTTTCCCGGAATACTCCCATTTCACAGAGGCCATAAACCATGAACCATACACAAACCCCAGAGAAAGCTATCAGCACTGGCCCCAGACCAGGCATTTGGGTGTGGTCTCATCCCCTATCCCAACTCACAGGGCTTTTCCCAAAGCCTGCGAAAGGTCCAGAAGCCTGATCCTCATTTGGCAAACAGACAAAGAAACCAAAGGGTATAAAAGGAAAGCTTTCTCTATATTCACTCACTCAAGATTTGGAAACAAACTCCCCTTGGTCACTGTACTAGAACATCTGAAAATAAATGGTTTTTTCCTGAATCTCCGAGTACTCCCTGTGTATTTTTCGGTCGCCTGGTAAATTCTGTAACAACACACCTACTCACACTAGCTCCTGCCTAGACAGATGCTTACCCACTAAAGATGGGATCATATCCCAATAAACCCATCATAAATTAAAAATATCACAAGTGGAAAATACGTTTGATACACTTTACCTACTGAACATCATAGCTTAGCCCAGTGTACCTCAAACTGCACAGAACATTTACATTAGCTTACACTCGGGCAAAGCCATCTAACACAAAGCCTATCTTATAAAAAAAAAAAAAGTGTCAAACATCTCATGTAATTTATTGAATACTGCACGGGAAGTGAAGAACGGTGGTTTTAGAGGTACTCACCATTCACATCCACAGCTGACAGCACACTGGGCCTGAAGAATGTTTGAAGCATTCAACTACAAGACACCCTGGCAACACACTGCACTGTATCAGGGTTTACCCTACTGATTGCCTGCCGCTTGCTTCCACTGACCAGTATCACTAACCTGGGAAAAGATAAAAAATTATCTTCCTACTGAATGTTTATTGCCTTTCCATCATCACAGAATTGAAAAATCGTAAGTCAAACCACTGTCCGTCCAGTCAGGGAGCCTCTGAAGGACCTCACAGCGGGCAGCTCACTTGGGCAGAATCCCACGAGGACTGCTCGAGAATGTTGTGTTTCCTGGCCTCTCGGGGCAGAGAAATTCTTGTCTGCAGGTCAATGCAGCTACTCCTTAGGCTTCCTGTCTGGGTGTGGTGCTCTCTTGGCTTAAGCCAGGAATCCAATTCTGTGATCCTTTCTTCCCTTAACATATTGGGGTTCATACTCTTCTGATGGGAATGAACTCAGCAAACGTCCAATTATTAGGGAGGAGATACCAGCCTCCTTTCTGAGAAACATCTTCATCACTGGCATGATCCCCAGCGACGTTTTTTTTTGTTTGTTTTTAAACGCTGTTTCTAATATTTCTTCTTTAAAATCAACTTCACTTCAGCATAATTCACTCATAGTAAAATGCATCATTTCAATATGTAAGTTCAATTTTTTTAAGAAGACACTAACATTGCCACCCCTCGAAATAGTTTTGACATGCCTTCTTGTAAATATGGCATTAACTATCACTCCAATGCTAATTTCCTGTGCTACGTAATTGCTCTATGGATACATACATGTTAACATTAGGGAAAGCTGAGTAAAACATAAGAAAACTGTGTGTACTATTTTTAAAACTTTTAATAAGTCTAAAATATTATAAAATTTTGAAGTCAGACAAGATAAATCTAAAAAAGATAGGGTTCAATTATTTAGGATGTAAGGTAAATTTATTTTACTAAACCATTAAAATACTCTGATCCAATGTACTGATTCCGTTTTTTAAATATAGAATTTTATTTTTCAGCACTCACATATAATGTATAAGTTAATGTATATTGTTTGTGGCACAAAAAAAGACCGAAGGAGCCTGAATGTGTTGTAGTGAGGGGAAAATCACATATCTCAAATTAATGTCCAATCTGCTTTCTTTAAAAATTATTACACTATTTCGCCGAAATCGGTTTGGCTCAGTGGTAGAGCGTCGGTCTGCAGGCTGAAAGGTCCCAGGTTCGATTCTGGTGAAGGGCATGTACATTGGTTGTGGGCACATCCCCAATAGGGGGTGTGCAAGAGGCAGCTGGTCGATGTTTCTCGCTCTCTATCTCTCTCCCATCCTCCTCTCTGTAAAATATCAATAAAATATTTTTAAAAAAATAAATTATTACACTATTTGGATAACCCACAATAAATTTAATATAACCTTTCCAAAACATTAGTTTGCAGTGTCAGGTATTTCACAACCAACCATCTGTAACATGTATCCTACTCATAAATCTTATATAGCTATCTTTCATACATGTAAACTACTGGGTGAAGAATTTTAGTATATGTTTCATAATGTATGTGGTTTATATTGAATTAAATACATCTGTTGAGATACCACAAATCACCGGATTAACTAAATCACATTCACCAAGTTCAAAAGTACACTGTTTTTCCCTCTCCCAACCATCATATGTGCATGTATTCATAAATAGACAAAGCATATTTCAAAATCTGTACCATTTAATAAAGGTTAAATATTTAAAGGCAACCAGTATAGTCTCATTTTAAGAAAAGTATGTATATACATTTTGCACAACTGTTCACAATAAAAAATTTTTGAAAGAAAATAGAGATAAAATTTTATTTATATTTTCCTCTATTTTACATAGCTAAATCAAATGTAAAGTTCTCTTCCTGTATAAGAGTTTTACATTTGGAAGGAAATTCAAATATTAAAATAAAAGTTTAAGACATATGTAATTAATCACATACCAAAATCACAACAGGTCAACTGACAGACTCAAGCTTACTTAAAAATCATTACAAATTGTGAAAAATACATGTTATGCAAAATATTGTTTTTTTAAAAGTAGTATAATACCAACCCGTATAATTTAGGTGAATTCAAAAGTATGTTTATAAATTACAGTAGTGTCTAAACTGCCCTGTCATGAAAGGAGGTATTCTTTATAAATATATATATATTATAAATAAGAGACTGAGTTCCTTCAAGTGCCAACATTATTTTCACTTTAACCATTATTTAAAAGTTTGTAAAATGTATCAGAAAACTGTACATAGAATACAATAAAACCCCTGAAACTAAAAATCATTACAAATGCCAATTACCTAGTGACTTGTTCAACCAACTATTTGTACGTATGGGGTGATTTTTTCCCCTTCTTTTTATTATGTGGCCTTAAAGGAACATGTTTTCATAGTTATTGTTCCCTCTCTTGCTGCTGTTTCACATAGCTCTATCAATGAGTTCCTTGGAATTTGCCATTATTTTACATCTATAAATTAACTTTATTTTTATTCAATTCCCTGCTTCCACATATAGACACAAAGAGCCTAAACTGTCCTTTAGCCTTGGCTCCAACAGGGGCAGCATTGAAAATGTTTGACTGAGTGGAAGGGAAACTGATTCTGAACTGAGGTATCATGTGTTTCTTTCCAGCCTCCCTTGCAATGTCTCTTTGGTTGTTATTAATTTCCTGCTTCCCAAATACCTGGCTTTTGACTACCCATCTGGCCTTAACCTCTGGTTTTTATATGTCCCTGGTTTAAGTTCACCTGTCTCTCTAATTCCTGACCCTCTGCTCCTCTAGATCTACACGTGTTTACATTCCTTCCTTCTTATATTTCTATACACAAATGCTACTGGTTTCTTCCATCATCACTGGCCACAGATTACCATGAAACATATGGTCTTAAATTCTGTGGGTTACTAGAGCTTCTGGTCCTGGTTTCCTACCAGGCCTTGCCTTTCAGTCTGCTATTGTCTGTTATTTTGGTCACAGTGTGTATAAAACACGCTGCTTGTAAAAAAGCTAACTTTATTAAATTAGTAATCTTATTTCACAAAAATTTCAAGTGGGTATGACTCAACAATTTTCTTAATCAGTAAAATTCCTGACCAGGCAGATATTGTTCTGGTTGATGTTCACTGATCTATTTTCTTCACATTCTGAGTAAACAAATTTGACTCAAGTGAATTGATGGCTGACCTGAATTGATGGAGTGTTACAACGCTATCAGACATGTGAAATACCCTATCTTTCAAATGAATGGATTGGTTACAGAGTTTCTTTTAATCAAGAATAATAGTGCATGCCTACTATAAGCAACACACTATTTTAGGTGCCATAAGAAAATGTACTAGCTAATCATTTTTTAATGATAAAAATTAAAGTACTGAGTATCTAAACATTGATCAAAAGTTTATTAAGAAATCTTTTCAAAGAAAACCAATAAAATGCACCCAAGTCTTTTTTTTTTTTTAAGAAACTTTTTGTGTCTAATTGGCACTTTTATTTCCTGAAGCTAGTATTTTTCCCAGGAAGATATGTAATTGAATAACACTTTTACAGATTCATATTAAGAGGTAAATGTTAAAAATCAGCAATATCAACAGGTTATCTCCTAGATTTCCTGAGTTAAAGTGAAAATATGTATCGACAATGCTGATATTTCTAAATTCACTATATAGTGGGACACAAAGAAGATAACCTGTGTTATAATAGTTTGGTAACTTTCTGTGATAAAGGACAGATTAGTATATGTCAATTTCAAAAGAACTTATATTATTTAGCTGGTTCTAAATTCATGGGTAGTCAATAATAGCTTTTGAAAATCATTCATAAAATTAACCTTTTATACCATAAATTTTAACTAATTATTGGCTATTTTTTCCTGGTTTAGTTTATTAATTGGGAATTTCATACCTGGTGTGTGTGTGTGTGTGTGTGTGTGTGTGTGTGTGTGTGTGTGTGTGTTGAGGCATTTGGTGAGGTTTTGAAGGCATAGCTCTGTTTCTTACTTTAAAATAAAACAAATGAGTCCATATATATATATATATATATATATATATATATATATGCCATAAATATACAAAAAAACCCACATTTAATTATAAAACATCAATTTTTAAAACGATTGTCCACATTGAGTAGATAATGCCACAACGGCAAAGTGCATTCTTACAAATGGAGGCCAATTCTCCAGTGGTAAAACACTCTTCTTTTCCTATTTCATCCTTCATTTCCTGCTTTGTTGAGGTCAAGATCCACTGAAACAGTAGACAAAACTGCATTCGAATTTTGAAATGACACCTCTGTGTCTAATGATGGCGGTTTATACAAAAAGATTGCAAGCCCATTGAAGAAAATGGTGATAATTTTACAAATAACACCTAAATATAAAAAGAAAAATTAATCATGTATCAGGCCTTTATTACAAAAATCAATTCTCACAACTAGGAAGTCTTCACAACTAGAAATTCATTACTTTAAAAAATAGAAGTGATAGGCATCATAGTTCTATGTTTTAAAATTCTAAAACTTTAGGATGAAAAGTGATATTCTTCAATAAAAAGTATACATTTCAATGAACTATCATGTATTTTCTTTTTAAGCAACAAAAACATACAATAATTATTTTATTCTTGGTTATAATTGTACATATTTATAAAATAAGTGTTATATAGATATAATTCCATATTCTGTTTCTAATTTTATTAGTACCCTATCTATAAAAAACTATAATCAAATGCCAAGGAACAGCCTACAATATCCTTGAACATGAAATAAAAGTTGCCGAGTTTTCATGTTCATAATGGAAAATAACTCTAAAAATAAAAAAGCTTTGAAGTTCTTAGGAGAAAGCCTCTATAAAAATATATCAGATTCAATATTCAACCAAATTTACTTTTAAGCATCAAGTAAAAATACGAAACATCAAGATTCACTTCACAAGCTTTCATTTGTTTTCAAAGAACTCAGATTTTGAGCTCAGCTGTATTAACAGAAACTAGTTCTGGCCACATCACAAGCATTTAAGTTCCAGTCAAAAAAGCTAAATGGCCTTACAATGCAGTTTTTGCAGTGTAGCTACTTTGCTTGTGTTAATCATTAATATTTTGCTCAAAATGTGTATTTGAAAAACAGGAATGATCTAAGTATTTCTAGGTTTATAGGAAGATTAATTACATATGTACCGTTGTTACAATGTTTTTGAAAAATGTAAAGGTCTATATGTTTAGGGATAAAATTAGTCACATTTATCACAGTAGGAAAGGAAATAATTTGTTATCTGTATCTTTTGGTGAAAGAGTACAAACATAATCAATTACATTTTTAAACATGAAGACGTTTTGAACATAAAATGCTTTTTAGCAGGTAAAAGAAGTAGGAAGATTAATTTTGTCTATTCTAATCAATATTTAATTTTCTTTATGTGTGTAATTTATGTATTTATTTAGGCAGTCAATGTTTTATTACTCTGTCATCATAAATTCAGACAGCATAATCTGAGGCTAAGCACATATAAGAGCAATAAGCTATCTTGATACATATGCCAAAACAACTGCAACCACAATTGCAATAAAAATAACACATCATGTAAATATTTTCTATATATAGAATTTGTTTTAAAATATTCTCATTTCTTAGGTTGACTTAAAATTTTTCTCTCACTCTTACAAACTAGATGCCTTGATTTATTTCCTTTATCTTAATTTTCATTTATGGCTTAACCAAGACTATGTAAGACAGACTGCCAAAGGTAAAAGAGGTTGAATATCATGGCTAATCTTCTAAACTTAGGAAAAGATTCCCGTAACATGCCTTAGAGCCAAGGACTCTTCTCTACCTCAGTTCTATGTGCTTTCCAAAGCCCAGGTACCTAGATGAAAACATTCCAGTGTCTTAGAATTCTTCTTTGAGAGAAGTTGTTAAAAGAAAATTAAGCAATATGTGATGTAATGAAAGCTATAATGTTCTTCTATCATAGACTGAGTCTTACAGACTCCGAGTAAAGCCTTTGTAGCCTGCAGATACCGATCTCTGCTTCAGGAATGAACATTTCAAATCCGAAATAACAGTAACTTTTTTCTTTTAATCTGGACATCATCCATTTGCTCTGAAGTTATTAAGAAGTCACTACTTACTTATAACCACAAGCATACGGGCCATCCTGATGTTATCATAAACCCAGCAGGCTCCTTTAATTCCACATTCATTAACATCCCAGAGAATACATGAGCTGTCTATTGTGACACCAAAAATAATTGGTCCAGGTATTGAGCCTAGAGGATTGTATGTGAAATACACATAAGTAAGGATTACAGTTTATAGTTACAGGTGTTTTTTTTTTCTCTCTTTTAAAAAAAATATATTTTATTGATTTTTTACAGAGGAAGAGAAAGGGATAGAGAGTTAGTAACATCGATGAGAGAGAGTCATCGATCAGCACACCCCCTACTGGGGATGTGCCCGTAACCAAGGTACATGCCCTTGACCGGAATCGAACCTGGGACCTTTCAGTCCACAGGCAGAGGCTCTATCCATTGAGCCAAACTGGTTTCAGCATATAGTTACAGATTTTTATGTCCATGATTATATATATATTATACAAATAAGAATAGGTATTAATCTGTCCATTTGCAAATAAATCAGTTCATATGCAAGTAATATGTAAATAAAGAAACATAGGCGAAAATTCTAAAAATAATTGTACATAATTATATTTATCTAACCAATTAAAATTATTGTAATAAAAATCTCTGGCATATAGTGCATTACATTTAGTTAAGTAAATATTTTAATTCACTGCTTTTCTAATTTAATATGTGTCTTTGAAATTAGCTATTATACTTCTAAGGAATCAAAATAAATTATTGATGCACAAAGTACCTACTAAAAACAGTATGTGTGTTGTATGTGTGTATGCATTTGTGTACATGTACTTACATATCGACATATATGTGGATGCATGAGAATGCATGTGTACACATCACTATTAATACTAACATGCTTAGTACTGCTATGTTGAACACACACCTTCCTCCATATGAGGTCAGAAGGCACAAAAACTTTCACATAATTAAAGAGCTTCCAATTGTTACGAATCAAATATATGATTCGAAGTGGTATTTCTTAGACAAAAGTTTCAGCTACATCCAACCCATTCTTTCATGACCTGTGGCATGACAGAGCACTGGACTGAGGCAGGAGACCATTTTCCTACTCTCATTTGCACCATTAATTGTGTAACTGTAGGCAAACCCCCGAATCTCTCTGCGCCTTCATGTATCATCTGAAAAATGGGAAAGTTGGTTCAGGTGACCTCTAATGTTCCTACTTTTGGTGAGTTTTTAAAAAAATGATCTTAATAGTATGTATATAATATGTTTGTCATTCTTATTCTTCCTGCATCTGGTACCTTATAAAATTTTCTAGTATAAATTATTTCTTCCAACAACTCTTAACTATTTTTTCATTATTGAGGAAACATAATCATGCCCCAGAGATAAATGCAGGAATAAAAAACATTACAGTAGTTATAGATAAGATTAGCATAATTTGTTGGTAATGGGTTTTATATATGAATAGCAAAAACTGTCTCTTATTATGCTCTATTAGAAATGCATTAATGATAATATATTATATTTCAAATAAATATTATATACTCTTTAAGGTTATATTTGCATTTGAATTAGAAACAATAGCCAACAAAGAAGGTAGGTAAAAAGTAAAGTCATTATTTTCTTATGTAATATACAAATAATATATATTTAATATTGGAAAATAGTTTCTTCAACAGCAATGATGTAGTTTTCTACTGCATTTAGATTAAATACTTTCTTGGCACATATAAATAAATAAATGACACTAATGAACAAAAATAACCAAGCTACTAATGAATTGAGAAAAATGGCATACCTAATAATCGAAGCATCATAAACTGTATTCCCAAGGCTAGAGACCGTTGCTTTTGATTGACACACCTGGAGATAGTAAATACACATGAGGCCAAAATGGTTGTACAGCACATTCACACAGTATCTCAAGTATGATGAGACACAGTGCTGGGACACGAGAGTCAGAGAGAGAAAAGAGATCAACTAGTCTTTAAAAACAAACTTGCAGTTGAAAGGTGACATAGATTTTTTTTTTTTCAAAATAAATTTTAAAAAAACAAAGTCCCTGTTTTCTAAATAACTCCAATTTCCATGTAGTGAAATATTAACAGACTCTTTAATGTTTTTAGACAGTCTCAAAAGCTTCCATTCATTAAGAAGTATGCGAAAAGGTAAGTATCAAGGAACCAAAAGAGAAAAGGGCAAAGTTTATTAGGAGAGAAACAGAAAGGCTGATGAACTTATGAAAGGGCAGACAGGAAATATTTTTTTAAAATATATTTTATTGATTTTTAACAGAGAGAAAGGGAGAGAGATAGAGAGATAGAAATGTCGATGAGGGAGAAACATCGACCAGCTGCCTTTTGCACACCCACTACCGAGGATGTGCCCGCAACCAAGGTACATGCCCTTGACTGGAATTGAACCTGGGACCTCGCAGTCCGCAGGCCGATGCTCTATCCATGGAGCCAAACCAGCTATGGCGACAGGAAATATTTTTACAATGAGATGTAGGAGGAAGAGCAACAAAAAGTACACAACACTGTGAAGAGCCAGATGACAGTGGGCTTCTTATTAGTGCTGTTCACAGGAAGGCTTAAAATCATAGCACCTTCTGTCTAAGGTAGAATGCATGTTATTCTGATTCATATATAACTGAACATATTCACCTTATAACTGAAGCCTCAGGAAAGAAGCAGAGAAGCTGAGTGACAGGTGGACAATGTCAGGACACTTTTCACATACATGATCTCATTTAAACTCATACATCTGGTGTTCAATGAAGTAGGTTTTTTAAAAGCACCAAACTAATGATCTTGTAAGGGCTGAATTCATATTAGAACAAGTGGTCAATATAAACCGAACCTTTTTTTTTTTTCTTTTTCTTTTTCATTGAACATGCTGCCTTAGATAGAGCAAATTTTAAAATACAATACATACCTTAGGATGGACACAGTGATAGGAGTACCGGCCATGAAGGTAAAAACAATTGCAGCAAAGAAAACGCCAAGGAATATGGGCAAGTTTGTACATCGAGTTTCACATTTTCCAGCTTTAGCTTCATAACCAAAACTTTCTGCAGGATGTGTTATTTCCGTTTTCATTTCAATACAGGAACAGTTGTAATATGCCTAGAATATTAGACATAAAAATGCCGAAAGTGTTTAATTTGAAAACATGTCTTATCATTATAAATTAGGTGATCTCTAGACTTGGTTCTCTTTCGCAGTCTTCATCCACATACAACAAATAATACAGGGAAAGAGTAATAAGCACTAAGAAATTAAACGAGGGAAAACAAGCAGCCATATTTATGAAGCAGAATCATCTCTATTTGTCTTTTAGGTACATTACTTCAATTTTTAATCTATTATTGACTCAGGATTTGTAAATCAAATTGACGAGAATATAGCAATATGTTATCACACTCATTCTATACTGTTTTGAATAAGCATAACTGTTCAAATAATTTACCTGCTCACTTTCTTCATTTCCATTCTAGGACACACAAATAAAGCATCATAGTGACAATCTCACCATTACACTAGTTTGAAATAACAAACACTGTAAATAAGTGTTTTAGTAAAATTAACTAATGTGTCACAAGAGTTGGGGGGAAAATTGATGCTTTCAATTAAACCTTTTTACTATAATTTTCTGAACTTATTGAGTTGTTTTACCAAAAGCAAACTATCTCCTCTTAAGATGACATATTTATGAATATCAAAATCTAGAAGTGATTACATTATCTGGTAGGCTATTTTACATATAAATAACATACACATATAAATTAAAAAATATGAAATGTTGAAAGGCAACATGTAAATAAATCACAAGTATTGCTTTTGCATGAAAAAATAAGATATTTTAAAAGTTAGTCATGATTAGTTTTTAAAGCCCTTTTACATCTTAATTCCATCCCTGCAATAAATCTTTTTACATATTCAATAAAAGACATGAATGAAGTCAGCAGAGCCAGAGAGGTCAAAAGGAAGTGGTGCTTTTATTGTTCTGAAGTCAGAGACCTTTTTGGTTGCTAAAATGTCCTATGGCCACTGGTTCTGATTCAGGACATCCAAATATACCAATGACACCCCCAAATGGACTATTTGAGATTCAGCAATCAGATGCATCAAACAATGAAGTAATGTCACCTTTTAAATTTTTCAGAAGAAAAAATGAGAAGTTTTCTTGTCTTTTTCAAGAAAGCTTTAAAGATAAGCTTTGTTTGTTTTTACAATTAAAAAAATATTTGTTTTTACAATTAAAAAAAAAATTATCACAGATGTCCCTCTTCCCCCTTTTTTGTCCTGTTTGTGATGAAACTTTACAACTTTCTTGCATAAAAAATTATACATTTGCCTAAATATAGTAGTAGTTAGTCAGCATCTGTTTTTATATTTTGGGCCACTAGTGTTAAATATTAAAATTAATATTTCTGTGAACAAATGTGTATATTTAATACATTATTATTCGCCTGTTTGAAATATTCTGTAAGAAAAAAATCCCAAGAAAAAAAATTAGTTGTTTTACATGGATGGAATATCCTATATATTAAAAGCCTACTATGCAAATTATCCCTTCCACTGGGAGTTCAACCACTCGTTGTGACGTGTGACCACCAGAGGGCGGCAGAACATGGCGGGTGTCAGTGACACGGCATGGGCAATGGGTGGCAGTGGAGGCACTGCTGCCCCAGAGGGAGTGGAACTGCTGTGGGATGGTGGAGCAGCAGAGCCAGTGGTGCCAGGCTAAGGCTGGTGCAAGTGGGATCCAATCACCCTACCAATCACCTCACAGACAGTGACCATCAGAGGCAAGGGACAGGGCTGCTGCTCGCTCCCCGGTGCTGAGGGAGCCAGCGGGGTGCTGGCCCCAATCAATCGCCCTGCAGACAGGATGATAGAGCAGGTGAGGGGGTAGAGGGGCTGACTGGGGTAGGGCCGGACTGGAGGAGGAGCAGCAGGTGTTTGGCTGGCTGGCCCTGCCCCTGGTCAAACTCCTGGTCAAGGGAGCAACTTGCATATTAGCCTTTTATTTTATAGGATCTTTTCTTGCGATCTTTTTTTTAAAACATATTTTTATTGCTATCAGAGATGAAGGGAGAGGGAGACAGAAACATCAAAGATGATAGAATCATTGATCAGCTGCCTCCTGCATGCCCCCTATGAGGGATCAAGCCCGCAATCCTGGCATGAGCCCTGACCGGGAATCAGACAGGGAATCAAACTGTGACCACCTGGTTCATATGTCAATGCTCAACCACTGAGCAACACCAGCCAGGCAGATTTTACTTGCAATCTTAAATTTATTTTTATAAGGGGGGGAAAAAATGCTATTTCACTAGTCCATATTTTAGATATTCAAGATTATGTTCTTTTGTTACCTTATTCATTGTGTCCTTTTATATCATAATATATATTTCCCACAGATGTTCTTAGTGTTATCACATTATCTATTATTGCCTAACATGTTATGTAGTACTAGTGGCCCAGTGCACAGATTTGCCCACATTGAAAGGAAATTAATTAGAAAAAACATTTTAATATCACCATTCATCCTTTCAAATTCAACCAAATTCACAATTGACAATGACATATGGAAACACACGCACGTGATTGGTGCCAGCAAGAGCTTTATACGTATCGTGCATGTGTGAGTCAATGTTTATTTTTAAACTGCTAATGTGCATCATATGTACCAGCTAGTCAGTCAGTCAGACAGAATGAAAGTTGGTCACTTAGCTTTTTATATATATATAGAATAGTAATGTGACTAGTTTCCAAGACTTAAATTTAGCTAAGATGAAACTTTAGATTATATATATATATATATATATATATATATATATATATCGATTAAACTCTATTGGATTCTATTAAAACTATTTGACTACATTTAAAAATAAATATCTAGGTAAAATGATACACATTCCAATACAGAATTTAAACTAAATTTGTATTTGAGATTGAGATAATGATTTAATATTCATATAATAAAAGCCTAAGTGACCCGTTATGGTGAAATGACCAGAATGACAGGTCACTATGATGTATACTGACTGCTATGGGGCAGACGCTCAATGCAGGAGCTGCCCCCTGGTGGTCAGTGTGCAACCACAGGGTCATGCCACTGAGCCAGAAGCCAGGCTCACAGCTGGCAAGTGCACAAGCCAGGCTAAGGCCCTCTTCTCCCCATAGTGCATGAATTTCGTGCACCGGGTCTCCAGTTTTTAAATAAATCCATTGTGTATCAAATGAAAGCAACAAATATTTATGATGTTACTACTAAGTACACTGTAGTTAGCAAGAATAGGACAAGTTCCCCGACTTCAAGGGAGGTGTATAGTTGATAAAAAAATAAATAAATAAAACAATCAAAAAAGATAAATAACACTTTACTGCTGTAATAGAAGTAATGTTACAAAGATGTATGTAACTGCTGAGTAAATTGCATCTCAGGTTTAAAAGAAGGCTCTTTCTCTATTGGTGTGGTCATATTTTTGGTGTGTGTGTGCACACATGTGCACGCATGTGCATGTTTAAGGTAAGATCTACTATCTTAACTAATCCTAAGTGTATGATACATACTTGTTGACTATCAGTACAATGTTGTGCAGCAGATCTCTAAAGCTTATCCATCTTGTGACTGAAGCCTTATGCCTGGCTTCTGAATGGAAGAGGTGGGCCCGGAAGGAAAGAACAGGCATTGTGTGACTCCATAGAGGGACCAAGAAGGTCATCCATACATAGACAAATACACTGCCTCTTTATGGTGAAGTAGCAGACACAAGTTACCTCTGAACGTTTCATTGAAACAGAACTTTTACAGCCTGCAAAGCAGGGAGAAAAGTATTGGACTCCATCTCTGCCACAGACAGGATAATAATGTGACCGCATGCAGTTACAGTTGGCATTACAAGGAGTGGTCAAGTTTCCCAGGTTTCCTGTCCTGTCATCAAGAAATGAAAGATGGGAAAATTATCTCTGCTGTAATATTTAATGAACAGTCCAGGAACACTAGTATTTTTTCCCATGTAGTCATTTATTCACTCACTCAGCATATATTTAATTACTAAATAAATAAACAAAATGTCAAAAAAAAAATGTCTGCCTTTTCCCATAGAGTTTAATTTATGTGGAAGAGAGAAGCATTTGAAACAATCTGTCTATATAAAACTCTAATATGCAAATAGACCAAATGGCAGAACAACCGAACAACAGTAGAACATGGCAGCTGTTGGCTGCAGCAGGATGATGAAGCAGGTGAGGAGGGGGCGCCAGACCAAGGTGGAGCTCTGGTAGCTGTCATCAGGGAGAGCCTCTGGTAGTTACTGAAAATTCTTTGCTCCCAAACTCCAAGGTCCCACCTTGTGCCTCACCAGCACCAGCCCTGCTCATACCTGCTGCCAATGCAAAGCCGCCACTTGCACCACCACTGGCCCCGATCACTAGGTGCCATCAGTAGATGCAAGTGGCGGTGGCTGCCGGTCCCAATCACCACTGAGAGCATCCCCATCTCCCCCTGCTGCTGAGTGTGAGCTGGGAAGCAGCCACTGGTCACATATGCTGCAAGTGCTGACTATGACTGCACCTGCTGCCAGCACCAACTCAATCACTCCGCACTGTCAGCGGATGCGAGTGGGGCTGGTGCCATCAATGAGTAGGAGCGGTGTCAGAGAGAGTGGGGCTACCGGCAGACAGGGGACTAGGGGCTGCAGCAGGAGGGGCCGGGCAGGGTGCGGAGGTTGGGCCAAGACCCACTCCTGTGCCCACCACAGCCTCGAGGCCCACAGTTCCTTTCAAGGCGCACGATTTCGTGCACTGGGCCCCTAGTGGTTATATATTATTCAGTCAGTGAGAAGAAAAATAGGCAGAGTAAGCAAACATAGTTTATCATTTGATAGCAGAGAACTCTTTTTTTTTTTTAGAGAGGAGGGGCTGATTCTGAAGACTACAGGGTGTTCTGCAGCATCCATCCTGGATGCCAGTAGCATCCCGTTAATTGCGACAACTGAAATGTCCCTAGACATTGCCAAATTTCCCGGGAATACAAAGAAATTTTTAAAGCTGGAAAGATGAGTAAAATCATGGTATTCAACATATTCATTTTAGCAATAGAAAAAATGAGACCCACAGAGATTAACTTACTACTTTCCTTTCTTTGCCAAATATAATACTCCTGGTTCCCAGGCTCAGTGTTATTCCAAGCTGCCTCTGAACAGGAGGCAATATAAAGGGTTAAACCTGTCCAATCCCATATTTATTCATTGACTTAGCCAATTATATTGAGAAAGTGCTGGGCCCAATGCTAGCTATTGGGAATACAAAGCTGAGTAAACAATCCGTTGGCCTCAAATATTTCAATCTGGGAGCAGAGAGAGATGGACACATAATTATACTCACATTCTGGTGAGTGTGGTTAAGGTAGAAAATACCAAAGGGACTCACATCTATATCATTCATCTGTCAAGGTGATAAAATAGTGTTACATTATCCAAAACTTTTTGTTCTTCCAAGAGGAACATACAAAACCAGTCATTTCTTGGGACAGGTTTGGATGAAGTTTACAGATGAGAAAGCCAGGTCTGCCCAACTTCCACAGTCCCAGGTATTTTTCTACTATTTCCAGACCCAGGACTGAGTCCATTCAAACAGGTCCCTGAGCCAAGCCTTCACTTTCTAGCATTTATTGGCTTAAAATATCTCCTCTACTGTTCCCTCTTCTAAAATCTTCATCTCTCAAAACTTCACATCCTGAAAGGATATTTAATCCCATTTTTCTCTTATGCCACAAAGCCTTTCCAGAGTCTAGTCAAAGGAAACTGAAAAGCTCTTTCTGAATTCCATACCCTTTGTGTATCTCTCATTACCTAACATATTATTCATTCACTGTTTTGTTTCCCAGTCTCTCCTCTTACACGGAAAACTCCTTCAGTGCATGGATTTTTGCAATAAGTTCTGCCAGAAGGAGCAGTCAACAAATGCTGACCACATGCGGTGGAGCGGAACTAAACATGGCTTTACAACACTCAGCATCTCATTAATGTAAAAGAATGAGAGAAATGAGCAGAAACTACCAGTCATAACTGTTAATGGCAAACTTTTCCCAAGTATATCTCCTCAGGTTATCTGAACACCATATCATACAAAATCATGGAGTCCCTGACCTGGAGTACCATCTCCCTCAAAAGTGTCAAACATATAAAATACACTGCCATGCAACCTCCTGAACCCCTGCTCAGGATCTCGGACTTCAGTGTGAAACAAACAAGGCAAAGAAAAGTAGAACAGTTAAACCAGTCATGGGTAGAAGAAACATATTTATAGATCAGAAGGATAAGAAGTCATTTATTCCTCTATAGTAAACATGAACTTCTAAAGCCGATAAAGCAATGATTAGTATCACCTTGGACTAGCTTCATTTTTAACTTCTCTCCTAACCCATTTTCGGCCCACTTAATATAAGACTTTTGCCATAGGGAGGCATCTTCATTTTTTAAAATTCAAATTAATAGGGACATACAATGTGAAAGCCACCCTACGATGTGAATCCCCTCTGGGCAAAGATTCTGCTATATTCGATCATTGTAACCTTGAGCAAAGTACTCAGTACAGAATAGTTGCTCTCTGAATAAAACCCAACTTAATAGGTGCCTATTCTTACAAAAGAAAAAGCTTTTTAGTTAAAACATTAAAAAGCCAATCTCTCATCACTTTACCATATATTTAGAAATATACACATAGTTCGTTACTCTGATATTAATATCAAAAAGCATTGAAACATACTTACCCGTTATATGATTCAGACACTCCAGCAAATGGCTCATTCTCACAGCTGGCATAAACAAATACAAAGCTCAACAGAAGTGAAATTAAAGTTGTGAGCAAAGCAAACTTCATTATGTTTTTACATGTCATCTTGAACTTGGAAACAAGAACTCCACCTAAAATCTGACCCAGAGCAGCACCAGGAATTAAAATAGCCCCTAATGAGAAAGAAGACAGAAAACATACAAATATACTCAGTAACTTCTACCAACAACTGAAAAACATCAAAAACAAATAGCAAATTGGTTTTAACATACAAAAGCATTAGTGATTTAGACACATGAGTAAATGATTTGTTATATTAAGAGAGTAAGAAAATTAATGTTTTAAATATTAACATTACTATATAGTCTCCTTAGCTATACAGCTATACAGCCTCTGTACCTATCATGTTCATACAAAATATTGTTTGATGTCAGAAAATCAGAAACTTTTATCAAAATCAGTATAAAGTTTAAATTTCAAGGACTCAGCTATTCAAAAGTATATGCTATTACATTAGACATTTAAATTGGTTCAGTAAGATTATGCTAGGACAAAGAAAATGTTTTACCTCCAAGGGTAGCTGCAAAGCTAGACGACAATCCAAATTGGTTTTCTATAAATTTAGGTAAAAATGTAGCAAATCCAGTAGTAACTAAGGCTTCTGAAGCAGTTGATATAACTAAACACATAAAGACAGTATTCCTCATAGAATTCTAAAGAAAAAATACAGTTCACCAAATGAGTAACTATGATACAGCACAGAATGGCAACTTTATAATAAAAACTATATGCTTATCCATAACATTTCAGCTTTTTCCTCCAGCACAAAAGTATAAATATGGGTTAAATAGCTTTATTTAGACAATGTTGAGAAAATGTATCTGTGAAGCACTTGAGAGAATCAACAAATGATGCATCAGTAGGATGACTGTGCCTTTATCATATGCACGGGACCTGAAAAAGGAGGTACGAACCACTTGGAAAGCCTACCCTTCCCCAGTCTTATAAAATCTTCATACAATAAATCTGTCCCTTATCTGACATTTTTATTGTGTTCTGAATTGCTATGTCCAGTAAGTGAGCATAGAGAATGGTCTTTAAGTATCAACATTGTAGTATTGTTCTGAGTCTATATCTCAGTAGTTCAGAAACTTAAATAGGCAGAGAGCTAAGTCATTTTAAAAAGGTGTCTATGTTGTTAGCCTTCTCAGAATGTTATCTATCTATCAGAAGGGAGTGTAAACATTCATTAATTCAATATACTTAATCAAATATTGAAAACCAAAGTATAGTTCTGAAATATTAAATACAAAAAAATTTATAAACCCAACACAATACAGACACATATGTGCACACACACAAACACACGAGTCAAACACTTGTGTCTTTAACCTCAAGTTCAAACCAAGTAACCACTAACTTCCACTTCTTTCACAAGACAAATATTTAGGTTTGGCATTCTCAAATATATATTTACAATTCAGTGATAAATGATTGATTCATTACATAAAGGAAATGGCATGGACTAACAGGTATTGTGCTAATGAAGAACCACTGAATATTGATATTGCCAATAAAGTAACTCATGTTCTTTCATTCTATTCTGAAATAGTTTTCATTTACTCAAAGCTCAAAAAAATTTAAATTTGAGGGTTTTTTTACAAGAGCTAGAATAATAGCAAATAAGCAAACAGCAATGAATGCATTGTGGAAATAGTCAAACAACAATGCATTGTGGGAATATTTGTATGGATATGTGTTTATGTACATATGTAACGTATACATATATCTACATGTGAGGGTGAGTGTGTGTATAAACCATGTTATTTTACCTTTAGTGCAGCTGGAAAATCTTTAAAACTTTCCCCAAAATTCTCGTCTATTTGATCGAAGGAACTACTACTCTGATGAGTTTGGGAAATTTTTCCATCTTGAACTTTTGCTGTACCTAAAAAAAAAAAAAAAGAAAGAAAGAAAGAAAAAGAAAAAAGTAAATGTTCCTGCTCTATCACTTCATTCTTCATTTAAAATATACTTTTTAAGCCAAAACCGGTTTGGCTCAGTGGTAGAGCGTCGGTCTGCGGACTGAGGGGTCCTGGGTTCGATTCCCGTCAAGGGCATATACGTTGGTTGCGGGCACATCCCCAGTGGGGGGTGTGCAGGAGGCAGCTGGTTGATGTTTCTCTCTCATTGACGTATCTAGCTCTCTATCTCTCTCCCTTCCTCTCTGTAAAAAAATCAATAAAAATATATTTTATATATATATATATATATATATATATACTTTTTAATTGACACATACTTCTACACTTATATAAATTCCATAAGAATTTTTGTAAAAACAAACAAACAAAAAACCTGTATAAATATCCAAGTCTGTAATCTGGCAAGAGTTAATATTTAATATTTTTACAATTAGCTAAGGAAGTTCCAACTGGTCTAAAATTTAAGATGAGACAACCTTCCTCTAATCACATATTTATTCCCTTTGTTATAAAACTTTCTTTAAAAATATCTCTTTTGCTCAAATGTTTTTCTTTCACATCTTTTATTTATTAAACAAAGTATGTTTGTGGCTTTTTTTCTTTTACTCTCTTTAATTCTAACATATTTTGCAGATGAAACAATGTTTAACATCTATTACCAGGTCCCTTTGATTTTTAATAATGGTTCCATGAATAAATCTGAGAAAACAATTAATATATTGAATCATAAATTGGATGGTCCAAGGTATAAATACAAGTAAATAAATAAATAAATAAATAAGCCCAGCCAGTGTGGTTCTCTGGTTGAGTACTGACTCCAGTTCAATTCCAGGTCAGAACACGTGCCCTTGGCTGCAGGCTCAATCTCCTGTACGGGGCATACAGGAGGCAGCTGATTGATGTTTCTCTCTTATCAGTGTTTTTATTTATCCCTATCCCTTACTCTCTCTAAAAAAAATCAGTAAAAACATCTTTTTAAAAAAAATAAAAAGCAGTGGTCCCACCTACTTCTACTCAATATTTGTTTGCCCATTTCCAAATGATAATCTTCTATCCTTTTTTAAATAATAGAAAAAATACCTGAGCCTAGAGAAAAATACATATGTGAATATATATAAGAAAACAACAATGCATTATGGAAATATTCAAACAGCAATGTATACCCTATCTAATAAGAGTAACATGCAAATTGACTATAACTCCACTATACCCATAAGGCACATCCACAAGCCAATCAGAAGTAAATATGCAAATAAACCCAACCAAGAATAGCTGTGGCTACGGAAAGGAAGTCGGGAGGCTTGGATTTCCCTAGCAACGAAGAAAGCCAAGCTTTCCGCCTGCCCTTACCAGCCCAGGCTTCCACTCAATGCTACAAAGTTTCAATGATAGAAGATAAATAAATCCCCCCAAAAATGGTGGTAGCCATGGAGCTGGAGAAAGCAGGAGGCTAGGGTTATCCCCCAGAAATGAAAGAAGCAAGCTTTCTGCCTGCCCTTGCTGCCCACACCTCCACTTAATGCTACAATTTTTTTATTATAGAAGATAAATAAACCCCAACAGAAATGGCTGTAACCATGGAGTGATCAGGAAGCTTAGCTCCACTCAAAGCTACAAAGTATCAATTATAGGAAATAAATAAATCCCAGATACCAGGGCCTCCGCTTGGGTTGCCGGGAGACTGTGGCTGGCCTATAAACCACTACAGGCCCCTAGCCTAGGCCACCCCACACCACAAGGGAACCCCCACTCTGATCCAGGACACCCTTTAGGGTAAACCAGGTCCCCAACTATGCACCACGCCTCTGGCCTATCTAATAAAAGAATAATATGCAAATTGGCCATCACTCCAACATGCAAGATGACTGCCCCCATGTGGATATAAGATAGCCACCACAAGATGGCCAGCAGGGGAGGGCAATTAGGGACAAACAGGCTGGCAGGGGAGAAAGTAGGCATCAATCAATTATTTTTTTAAAGATGTTTTTATTTATTTTTTTAGGCTGTCAGGGGAGTGGTTAGGGGGTGATTAGGCTGGCAGGCAGAAGCAGTTAGGGGCAATCAGGAAGGCAGGCAGATGAGCAGTTGGGAGCCAGAAGTCCTGGATTGTGAGAGGGATGTCTGACTGCCCCTTTAGGCCTGATCCTCACACCTGATCTCTCCGTGGCCTAAAGGGGCAGTTGGATAACCCTTGAGGGGTCCCAGATTGGAGAGGGTGGAGGCTGGGCTGAGGGGCTTCCAGCTGCCTGTGCACTAATTTTGTGCACCGAGCTGCTAGTGCTATATTATATGCAAATTGACCCTCACACCTTCACATAAGATTGCTGCCTCCATGTGGTCAAAGATGGCAGCCACAAGATGACGAACAGGAGAGGGCAGTTGGGGGCAATTGGGCTGGCAGGGGAGCAGGTAGGCATCTATCAGGCTGGCAGGGGAGTAGTTAGGGGGCAATTAGGCAGGCAGGCAGGTTAGGGGTGGGGAGCCAGCAGCCCCAGATTGTGAGAGAGATGTCCGACTACCAGCAGTCAGACATTCCCCGAGTGGTCCCAGATTGGAGAGGGTGCAGGCTGGCTGAGGGACAACATCCCCCCACTAGTACATGAATTTCGTGCATTGCCCCCCCACATATATATATTTGAACTTCATGATTATGCAGAAGCAAAATGTCAGAAAGAAATATTCTCTTCTATCAATCTTTTCTTTTTTGAACAGACTAGTAAAAATGAGTATACTACAGCATATCTTTGATGATAATTGAAAGAAAAACACTTGTACTTTTAACAGCAAATAATAAACATCAATGACTTAAGGCAGATGGGCTCTTGAATTTAGTGACTACAGACAAATAGTTTAAAAGATGTTATATCTTATATAGATATATATACAGCAGGATTGTAGATAACAAATAAGCAACAAATTTAGTAAGTATATAGTAAATAGGTGAATATGTATAGTTTTGCTGATTATGAATTGAAAATTAAAGGAAACCATGAATATTAAGATTTCTCCCTAATATTTCCAAAAATAGAGAAAGCTATTCAAAAGTTTGCATAGGCCAAAACTGAGATTCTAAAAAACAAATAAAGTTTCTATGCTTCTTACCAATCATATAGAAAGCAACACTTAACCTAGAATTGGACAAAAACTTCCTTGTCTTAAAGATATTATTTTTACCTGGTAAATGTTTTGGAAAGCAAGAAAAAGGTATTATTAAACACCAAGCACAGAAAAAAGCCATAAGAAATCCAATCCACCATGCTCCGAGCCATCGTGGGTCATCCTCAGTTATATCAGTGCTATATGAAAGAAAAACAAAAGGTCAAAGTCAACTCTATTTTGTTCATTAAAACTCAGTTACGATAATTATATACTTTATAATTCAAGTACTTTTATAGAGTAATATTTTTATAATATCCAAAATTTTAAGAGGAGCTATTCTAATGAATCGGACAACTGATAGCAAGCATAAATGAAAGCTATAATAATGGCTTGCAGAATGGCAAATAGGACATAAAATTTAAACTATTTAATACTAAATATACTATTGAAAATATATATAGTATTTCTGAACATAGTTTATCTAACTTTGGCTAAGTCTTCATTCTCTGCTATATTAAATACATCTCGCAGCATATCTGACCTATGTTAAAAGCCCATACACTGTGCTTCAATTACAGCATTCTTTTAAATATAAGTCTTTGTAAAATGATTCATTACATTTTTACAATGGTTTCATATTTTATAATAATAGACTCTTCCCCAAAATACTACCTCCACTCCTACAAAACTTATGCAATCCTCCACTGAAATTAAAATGTCCTTTCTTAAAATCAGCTCTCTGCTTTAAGGCTTCCCCATCACCTTTTTCTATAGTCTCTGTATGAGACAAATAAATATTACCTTTTACTTTCCTCCCTGGTCAGTTATTAAAACTGCACAATTGTGATCTCTAAGATATCATTAGAAATACTAGAGAACTTAGTCTGAGAATCATATACTATTGACTCTTCAAGCTACCTCCCTCATGTTAAATCTACTAAAGTCATAACTAATTTTGATTAAATTCTTTTGAACAATCTCTGGCATCTTCTATGTGCATAGAAAAATTATACCAGGTGACTATTAAATATCCTTATTTATGAATAATAAATGTTTTATGCAAAAAGATGGTATGGATTAACTCATAAAACAATGTAACCAAAACATTAAATAAAAATTGTGTGTATTCAGTTTTGTTTCCTGAAAAAAAAAAATCTTCATAATATGCTAAAGAAATCCTGTGAAAATATTTCTATCTATGATGCTAACACTAAAATAATAAAGTAAATTTAAATAAAAGAAAAACAGATATTGCCTTGCCTTTGTTCCAAACCAACATCAATGTACAGGGTTAACAGTTGTCCTCCCAGCAAATAACCAACAGCAGGGCCTAATATTGACATAGAATAGCCAATTCCTAGGACAAAGACAAGAAAAATTGTCATCTGTACAAGTTTGCTTTAAATGTCTAACAATAGTAAAGGAACACATATTTTACTATAGAAAAATCAAAATGGTTAGAATTACATGAAAATTACACATATTAGCCCCAGCTGGTTTGGCTTAATGGATAGAGCCTCGTTCCTGAGGACCAAAGGCTCCTGGGTTTGATTCCCGCCAAGGACATGTACCTTGGTTGCAGCCTCGTCCCCAGCCCCGTCCTGGTCAGGACACCTGCAGGAGGCAACAATCAATGTGTTTTTCTCACATCAATGTTTCTCCTTGCCTTTCCCTCTCTCTTCAACTCTCTCTAAAGGATCAATGGAAAAATATCCTCATGTGAGGATTAACAAAAAAAAAAAGATACAAAAAAATTTACACATATTTTTACACACACACACACACACATACACACACAATGTGATACCATTTGAATAATATCATTTGTAAAAAACAGCTTAAATTATATAATTTAAAAGCTATTACATTGAAATAATAATTTCAATAACAATAATTACAATAAATCTAGTTATTATAAATCCATGAGGGTTATATCTTTAACTCGTGACAGGGGTAGTACATTGACTATTATCCTTTATAGATGGTTGTATTAATTATTGTTTACAATCCTTATGGAAAATATAGGAAAGTATAAGCCTTTTCCACTCGGTACACACTACAAAAGCCTTCTTTATTTTATATTACAGCAGCTGATAAAAACCTGGATCTGGTTATTAGCCTGTTTCTTAAAAAACAAACAATTCATTTAGCCACTTACGTTTAGTGAACCTCCCATTTTTACTTGCAGCAGAATTAAACTGACCTTATTCTCTCAAATATGTAAAAATTCATCATATGTAACATTTAAATTTTGCACTAACCCCTCACCAAACTCTTAATCAGTGGGTACCCTGATCTTGGGCTTCCCAGCCTCCAGGAGTTTTAAGAAATAAATGCATGTTGTCTATAAGCTAACCAGTCTATGGTATTCTATTATAGCAGTATGAATGGACTAAGATAGTCCTCTACATCACTAGTAGAATAAATTGATAAAGTAAAAACTCATGTGCAAATAAATTGCACATTAATTGGCTATAGGGCCTTGGATTGGATGTAGGGCCATATAGCTCTCCCTTGCAGGTACATCTGGAAAGGAATTTGAGATAAACTTATGCTATCAGAAAATCAAATCACAAAAGAGCGGGTGGGGTGGGGTGAGGGGAAGAATCCAGTTATATAACAAAAGTGTTAATCTGAAGTGAAAAATTCCTCAGAGTCTCTGGGCACAATCTTGTGTTTTCTTTTGTTGGCTTTAGTCAGTAGGATGTAGTAAGACCCATAGAGTGGCAGAGCTGCATCTCCACACTCTGTGTAAATCAGCCTAGCATTCAAGCATTCTAGAGAGTCTACCTCTTGAACAGCACTTCCAGGAAGGTTGGCATGCCCAGTATAAGAAATAGTGCAGGACATTCAACAAAATTCAATGGAAAGACATATTATGTCAGAAAATAATAATTTTTAAAACAGCAATATTGCATGTATCTCATAGATACCCTTATGACACTACAACTAACTTTAAATAAGCATATGCTATGTTTTACTTATAAATTTAAATATCAATAAGATGAAATGATACTCAGACATTAATATTACAGAGCAAACTTACCTATATAGAGAGAAGATTTGTGTGTGGGTACAGAGTCATCAAGAAAGGCTGTTCCCAGCGTGTAGAGGGGAGTTCCTCCTGCTCCCAGCAACAATTGTCCCAAGATGAAGACATACAAGAAGTTGGAAAGTGAAGAACTTGAAGAGGTACAACTGGTACTATTCCTTGCTATTGAACAAGTATCTTTAGAGAAGGAAAAATAAAATTGTAAGCATAAAGAAATCCAGAGAAAGACAAACATCATATGGTTTTACTTACATGTGGCATTTAATGAACAAAATAAATCAACAAACATAATAGAAACAGACTCATAGAGACAGAGAACAGACTGACAGTTAAAAGAGGGGAGGGAACTGAGGGGCTGGGTAAAAAAGGTGAAGGGATTAAAAGAAAAAACGAAAAATAAAACTTATGGTGATTATCAGAGGAAAAGGGGAGTGGTGGGAGAAAGAAGAGGGCATAAGTGGTGACGGAAGGATAGTTGATTTGGGGGGTAAATACACAAAACAACATACAGATGATGTATATAGAACTGTACACTTGAAACCTATATAATAGTATTAACCAATGTCACCCCAATAAATGCAATAAATGAATACATTAGTACAGGGGGGAAAAAATCTATAAAAAGAGAAATTCAGCCGAAACCAATTTAGCTCAATGGATAGAGCGTTGGCCTGTGGACCAAAAGGTCCCAGATTCGATTCTGGTCAAGGACATGTACCTTGGTTGCGGGCACATCCCCAGTGGGGGGTGTGCAGGAGGCAACTGATCGATGATTCTTCTCATCAATGTTTCTAACTCTCTATCCCTCTCCCTTCCTCTCTGTAAAAAATCAATAAAACATTTTTTTAAAAAAGAAAGAAAGAAATTCAGCTAATAATTTAAATATTTATCTTGGAGAAATGGTTGATTCTAGGACTGGGCAAGAATTATACAGGATGAGCCTGGATCATCTCATAGTGCCAACAAGTAAAGAAGTGTTAAAAACAAACAAACAAAACCACACAATGATGGAGGTCTGTCAAAGGAACACATGAGCCAACTGAAAGGATTCTGATAGCTAAAGCTGGATTTGAGCAACAAAATTAAGTAGTGTTAGAATACACATATATCCACACTGAAAATTAAAAGGCTGAATAAACAAACAAATGTGGGAGAAAAAGACAAGTCTTTAGTTCAGAAGCATGTCTCGTAATTTATGTCAGTAGTCTACCCTCAAAGATGTGGAGCATAACACCCCACTTCTAAAGTGTGTGTGCACATAGTGACTTTCTTCCAAAGAGTATGTATGGAAGGCAAGAACAAAGAAGAGTGACTTCACAGTGTATCAACCTGAAAAACAGTACCTCAATCAGGTGATCAAGATCATCATCAAGAGTGATAAGTGATGTTGAGAATGAATACCCTTGATGTGTTGAAAATGGCATTTTGCCTGTGTGGTCCTCTCCTAAAAAACCCATAACCCCAGTCTAATCACCAGGTAAATTCCAGTAGAAGGCTATTCTACATCTGACTCGCACATCTCAAAACTAACAAGGTCATAGGAAAAAAAGGGAAATATCTGAAAAATCATCATAGCCAAGAGAAGCCAATTGAGCATGACAACTAAATGTTACACAGTACCCTGGATCAGATCCTGGAATAGAAGAGAACATTAGATAAAAATTAAGGAGATGTGAATAATGTATGCACTTCAGTTAATAATTATAAACATTAATGGATGATATATCAACATTAATTCATTAATCATAAGAAATGTAGCATATAACGTTAATAATAGGGGGAAATGGAAACTATATACTATCTTTAGAATTTTTCTGTAAATCTAAAATTGTTCTAAAAGTCAAGTTTAAAGTACAGAATAAAACAACCCATTATAAAATACAAGCTTAAATGTTCATAAAAATTAAAAGTAAATAAATAATAAAAATACATAAAGCAATTTTAATCAAGCAGATTCCACCAGAAGATGCAAGAATAAAAAGAAAAAGTTAAAACAGCAGAATTTAATTTTCATCTTTCTCAGTCCAGAAGCACAAATTATTAAAAATAGACAAAGAAAGAGAAAACCTCTACAATATAATGGGTAACATTGAATTTAGGAAAGCATACCAAATTCCATTCTCTGATTAAAAGTGCCTTCCATTTTTAGGTCCCATGAACAAGTCTAAGAAACACTAACCAAAATATTACAATGCAAAAATGTCTATATACATTCCAAAAACTAAATAATAAAATCTATGATCAAAATAAAACAAAACTATAATAGAAACTTCTAGGCCCTTCTATTGAAAATTCAAAAAAAAATTTAAACTAATAAATTATTCTTAGGTCAAAAAAATTTGGAATTACAAAGTTTCTTGAAATGATTCTAGAAATAAGGCAAATCAAAAATTATAGGCTAAAGTACTATAATAGTTATAAGAATCTTATTCAAACAGAAAAAAACACCAAAAATAATGAAATCAAAATATAAAATATATAAAAATAAATCACACATTAATGACCTGTGCCTAACACTACCACCACTGCAGCTAGATGAGATTATAGAAAATCTATAGAGAAAATAACACGCAAAAGAATACCTAAAAAAACAGTGAAAGAGGCAAGCAATTAAGAGGCCTCCCAAAAAACAAACAAAAAACAGAAATCTGATTAATGGAATAAAAAAATCATAATTAACAAAAAGTAATTTGAAATAATCAGTAAAATATGCCAGTAGCTAAAATAATGAAAAAGAAGAAATTATATATGTATACAAATAATACATGAAATAAGGAATTAAACTCTAAAGAGAAGAAATTCTTTAAAAATCACAAGAAATTACTTAGAGCAGATTTCTAGCCAATAAATTTGAAAATCTAAAATGATTAATTCTCAAGCCCACATTCAGAGATGAATTTTACCAATCTTGTAAATATTAAGTAATAATGACAATAATAATGCTACTTAAAACTATTCCAGAACATAGAAAAAGGGTTAAAAAGTACCAAATGTTTTTATGAATTGAATACAAATTGACACCAGCATGTGAAAAAGTTTAACAAAAGAAAAATACAGTAAGACTTTATATGTATATTTAATTTCAGAGAGGAAGGGATAGAGAGAGATAGAAACATCAATGATGAGAGAATCATTGATGGGATGCCTCGTGCATGCCCCCTAGTAGGAATACAGCCAGCAAGCCGGGCATGTGCCCTGACAAGGAATTGAACCATGATTTCTTGGTTCATGGGACCACCAGGCTCCTCTTCAACTTTTCAATAATGTATTAGAGAGAAAGAGAAAGGAACTAGAGGCTTACAAATTGGAAATGAAGAGGTAAAGCTATCTCAATTTGCAGAAGTTATAATTGTCTTTCTGGAACACTAAAAACAATAAATGAAGAAACTACTAAAAACAACAAGATAATTTATGAAAGCAGTAAAATATAAAATTAACATATCAAAAAAAAAATCAGTAGGCTTCATATGCCCAAGTTAAATGAAAACATTGTTACAGAATGTTCAACAATAACGCAGTCCCTTATAAAGTTACTGGATTTTCAAGATGAAGAAAAACTTATTTGAACAGTCAGGGAAACAGTCACACTTGGCTGACATCAGACTTCTCTACAGCAATACTAATCCCATAAAGAAGTAAAGGAATGGCAAAAGTAACCAGTGAAAGATAATATGACTCACACTGTTATGTTCCAATAGTCATAGGAACATAAAGGCAAATGACAAATATTTAAATATATTTAAAATCTCATGAAATTAACTTTTCCTGGAAAAACAAAAACTATTAACTAGAGAGTACATTTCAGAGATGCCGTGAGGACCTAAAAACCATACATCACAAGTAATATTAAATAACTTATTACATTGCATCTGTTAAAAACATCTTTAAAAATAGCTAGATTTACCTATTATGTAAACTATGTGGTATTATTTGCTGAGGAAACTATTTGAACCTAGAATTTCAACTTCTAATGGGGAATAATAAAATATCTGAAAATAATATTTATATCACCAATTTAAAACCATATGATTTGACAATATAACACAAGAGGGAGCTCCTCTGTTGTGTATGAATATAGAGTGTTGTTAATAATAAAACTGAGGCATAGAACTTCACTAAATGAACAAACTGATCTGTCTGGCCTACTAACATGGATGGGAACTAAAGACAAAAAAGGCTAGGGGAGGGGTTTGGGATAGGAAAGGAGAGATGAGGACAATTATGTGAAACCATAATCAATAAAAAAAATAATAAGTAAAAATAAATACACAAAAAAGGCAAAATAAAATCTACATAGAAAAATACTTAGCAGTTAAATATCAAGCTCAGCTCAACCCTCACCACCCACTTAGAGGCCCTCAGTCTCCTCTTCCCCAGGCATTTTCCTTCAAATCTTGGAAATTTAAATGGGGCTGTTTTCCTAGGAGTTTATTCTGCTGCCTTCAGTACAGCAGGATGTTGCTGTCTGAGATGACATTCCACATCCCCAACAACAGTTTTGTGAGAGTATTTTTAGGAAGTATCCATATCTCCTGAGAAGCGGAATCATTTTCTGGGGAATCAGGTCTGCCTCATTGGCTGCACCAGGTACTTTGATCAAAAACAGGCTAACTTTAATCAAAAACAGTCTCTTCTGCAACAGCATGGATGGAACTGGAGAGCATTATGCTAAGATAAATAAGCCAGTCAGAGAAAGGTAAGTATCACATGATCTCACTCATTTGTGGGATATAATGAACAATATAAACTGATGAACAAAAACAGATCCAGAGACAGAGAAGCATCGATCAGACTGTCAACCTCAGAGGGAAGATAGGGAAGGGTGGGAGTAAGGGGGAGAGATCAACCAAAGGACTTGTGTGCATGCATAGAAGTCTAACCAATGGACACAGACAACATGGGGGTGAGGGCATAAGTGGGGGGGTGGGATTTGTTGAGTAATGGGGGAATAAGGACACATGTAATACCTTAATCAATAAAGAAATTTTATAAAAAGTCTATTTCTCCCTTCCCAGGGAGTGATTATAATTTTCTCCCTTTCCATCTCTTTAATAAACGGTGTTGGAAAAACTGGACAACTACATGAAGAAGGAGGAGGAGGAGGAGGAGGAGGAGGAGGAAATAGACCATCACCCTACATCATACACTAGAATAAACTCAAAATTGGTAAAAGACAT